TTTAAAAATTTCCAGATTTCGCAAGATTTCACAGTTACCATTTAAATTCAAAATTATTCCGCTAGATTCCGCAAAAAAAAACACCAAAAAATTCTGTAAGATTTCGCAAAATTCTTCTGGTACTGTTTATACCCAAAATCAAACATTAATGCTTAAATTTCAAAAAATCATCATTTTCACTTTTTACAATTTCTTTGTTTTTTTATTTGATAAATTTTTACATAATAACGTAATATTTGTTTTGATTTTGGTGAGCTAAAATAATTTTAAAAGAACTGATAATCTCAAATTTATTCGATTTACATCAAAAATGATTACATTTAATCTAAGTCATGCAAATTAAATTTTGTAAGATCAAATATATTTATCTATATGGGAGATAAACTATTTTATCTTTGTTATTTCTAATATTTCTGGTGTGTTATAAAAAATTTCTTTTCGAATAGTCTAATCCCGCATTTGTCGCGGAAAAAAATCTAGCATAAATTAAATATCATAATTAACTAATAAAAAAAATCAAAACATTCCATATTTTTATAAATCCCCAAAGTTTTCAAAATTTTAAGTAACAAATTAAAATAAAATGTCTACATATCTTAAGATAAAAGAAAATCAAAAACCAATAAATCATTGATTAATTTTAGATGACACTTGAATCTTCGGTTGGATGTTGATAATAAGACACATCTGTTATTTTTTTTTAAACACTTAAAAATCCTAACCTTTTATAGTAGTTTATATATATATTATATTTTTTTTATGATAAACTTATGGGTAACGTATGACCCGAATGGGTTTACCCATTAAACCTATAAATCCATTAGCGGTAATCCACCAAAACCCATTTACTTATATAGATAAAAAACGGGGTTTTAATGGAAAAGACCCCTCAAATATTGTTTGTTCTATTTGAAACTCCTTAACTAAATTATTAATGTAAAACAAACACCCCAACTAAAAGATTTTAATATAAAAAAACTCTCAACTAAAAACTTAATGAAAAAACTCCTTAAGTAAAATTTCAATAATGAAAAAAACCCTCATTCGATAGTTAATGTCAAAATACTAAACAACTGCAATTAAATAGATTGTTTGAGATTTTTAATCGATTGCATCTTGTTTTCAATGTTGTTTT